ATTTATTTAAAGAGAAAATCCATACGACGATCTTTAGCAGTAGCAAACTTATCAATAACTCTGATTGAAATCGGGTATGCTTTCAATAAGATCCCTTTCTTTAGAAAGCATTGCTAATGCAGAAAGTCTTTCTTGGCACATGGTATTTCTTAAAAATGTTTTAATTCGTTTAAGGGTTGAAAAGCACCGTTCTGCTTTAGCAGAAGCCATAGGAATAATAATTAAATTTTTTTAGAGTTTTAGAGTTTCACTAAAAGTTTCACTTAACTCGATATTTTGAGAGATAAAGTCATAAAGCACAAGGAGTCCAGAAACTGATTTAAGTTCTTCTGTATCATAAATGACGGTTAATTCTGTACGGAGTTTTTGCTCGATGAAAAATGGGTAATTTTTTTTTGTCTCTTTAAATTTTTTTTCGGGAAAACAGGTACTATATTGGCCATATTCTTCTGGAAAGAAGAGACTGGCTGCGACTAAGTGGCTTGTGAAGCTGAATCGTTCTTTTGCTTGACAAATAATAATATCACAAACTTCTTTTGCTTCTCGTGAAAATTCCGCAGAGTCATCCAGCTTATGTCGCTTTGAATTAGATGAAGTCGGCTCAACGTCATATAAAGTGATGCTATTTCTAATCTCTGTTAATTTAGTTTCAAATGATAAGATAATTTTTTTTGCGATAACAGCGTCAATTTGTCTTGTTTGAAACTTACCAAATAACAAATGAACATGTGGCATTATCTTGTAAAATTTGTTTAACCAGGATACAAAACTTTTGCTTTTAAGGATTTTGACATATCCTGATGCTTGGTTGGTAGTACTTACGTTTCTACTTTCATTTAGAAGAGTTTTCATTGTCTCCAGAATGCCGTCTTTGTACTCAAATACGGTACAAACCACTCTGGAATTAAAATTCCATCTGGTCGGGGCTGAACGTGGTAAGCGTTTTTTAACGATTTGATCTAGAATTGCAGATATCTGAGGACTACTTGAAAAAAAAGTACAAATTCCTTGTAAATTTTCAAAAAAATTCAGACATTTTTGTTTGCGGAAGCCGAGTTTAACATTACCAAATTTAATTGATGTGCATAACAATGCACGTATGCAGCGTGTTCATACGTTTTTTTAATAATTGCTTGTACCCCGTTAGAAGACCCGCTCATAACTGATGCACCATCATATGTTTGTGCAATAAGTTTGTCTTTCACATGCTTCTCAAGCTCGGTGAGAATAACCGTAGATAAAGCTTTGGCATCATGATCTTAAGGCATTAAAAAATCCCAAAATCGTTCAACTGGCTTGCCTTTTAAAATGTATCTAAATACAATTGCCATTTGGAATTTATTTGATACGTCACTAGTTTCATCAGCAAATTATAGATAAATAATCGGCATTTTCTATTTCCTTAGAAATTTCCTCTTGGCATACAGTAAACATTGTAAAATTTTATTTTGAATGGTTTTTGACGTACCTTTAAATACCGATGCTTTGTCTAGATGCTGTTTTAGAGCACCGTCTAACTCAGAACTAAAATCAATTAATCCTCGAAAAACCCCGGGATTAGAGGAAGACGTAGACTCATCATGTCCTCTTAATGCGAGCTCGAAAGCTCCATAAAAACGCACACAATTAATTATGTTTAAAATGTATCGATTTTGTCTCACTTGCTCATTCTGCAATGCAATATTTCGTCGATAAGCGGTACTCAATTGAGCAGCCACGTTTACAGTTCCAAAAAGTGAATATTGTAAAACATTTTTAATGTGCTTTGCTGACGATGTATATGCTTTTTGATGCGGTCACCAGAATGATTCAAGTCGGTAAACCCTATTTTTGTCCAGGAATCTTCTCCTCCGAATAGCAAACAAGGGAAACAATAAAGAGCATTTTTAATTTCACACCCACAAAGCCATGTATGTTTATTATAAAGCTCCGGGTTAAATGTTCTGGTAAAAGTCCTTTTTTTGCTAGACACAGATTGTTCCATTTTTAAATTCGGAGTAGGCCTACCAAGTCTTTTTATTTTAGCCTTATCAATTAATGAATCGACCACAGAATGGGTTTGCAATTAAACTTTCAACCGAATTCATTTTTACACACAAAACAAACGAAAAAAGTGATTACCCACCACACTATAAACTAAAATCACTAATTAGCGGGCGAAATAAAGAAGAAGTTTGCACTCGTCCTGCAACCTAACTGAGCTTACGGGACGGAATTTGAAATCAACGCGTAGTAACACAAACACGCGCTTATTAATATAGCCGGATTGGTTTGCATTCGAGCTGCAAACTACATCGCAACGACAAAGCCGTCGCGTGGCGAGAAAATTAAAGACATTTAGGAAAAGGTGGTGAAATTGAAATTATTTCAGTCATTGACTGCTCCTCGCATATAAATGTAGGTACAGAATTTTGGTATGAATTTAAAAAAATATAATTGTAGTTCTTTTTTTATTTTACCAAAATTTTTTGGGGGTGGCGCAAACCTGCAAACCTAAGGAAGAGCCGCCACTGATTTGTACCACTAAAATATGAAATTTCAGATTTTGTACCCCTGCGGTTCCTATAGAAATTAACCTAAATTCATATTAGGCTCAAGAGTAAAGTACCCTTTTGCACAAGCAGTATCAATAGTTACTCCTGCAATGAAAGTAACATAATTTGTAGCACTAAAATATGAAATTTCAGATTTTGTACCCCTGCCGTTCCTATAGAAATTAACCTAAATTCATATTAGGCTCAAGAGTAAAGTAAAGTAAATCTGAAATTTCATATTTTAGTGGTACAAATTATGTTAGTTTCATTGCAGGAGTAACTATTGATTCTGCTCGTGCAAAAGGGTACTTTACTCTGAAGCCTAATATAAATGTAGGTTAATTTCTATAGGAACGGCAGATGTACAAAATCTGAAATTTCATATTTTAGTGGTACAAATTATGTTACTTTCATTGAAAAAGTAACTATTGATTCTGCTCGTGCAAAAGGGTACTTTACTCTTGAGCCTATTATGAATTTAGGTTAGTTTCTATAGGAACGGCAGGGGTACAAAATCTGAAATTTCATATTTTAGTGGTACAAATTATGTTAGTTTTATTGTAGAAGTAACTACTGATTCTGCTCGTGCAAAAGGGTACTTTACTCTTGGGCCTAATATGAATTTAGGTTAATTTCTATAGGAACGGCAGGGTTACAAAATCTGAAATTTCATATTTTAGTGTTACAAATTATGTTAATTTCATTGCAGGAGTAACTACTGATTCTGCTCGTGCAAAAAGGTACTTTACTCTTGAGCCTAATATGAAATTAGGTTAGTTTCTATAGGAACGGCAAGGGTACAGAATCTAACAATTTGCATTTTAACGTACTTTTATTGCAGAAGTAACGATTGATTTTGCTGTTTAAAAGGAATATGAATTTAGGATAGTTTCTAAGGAACGGCAGGGGTGCATATTCTGAAAATTTATATTTTAACGGTACAAATTATGTTGTATTTTATGCAAAAATAGCAATAGATTCTTTTTCTGCAAAAGTCTCTTTATTTTTAATTATAACAGATTTGGATTAATTTGAAAGCTGTTTCAGGCAGTTTGATTAAATATATTAGGTTTTTTAATGGTACATATTGTTACAAAATCAGTCCTTTTTAATTGTACCTTCGTATTTTTCAATGTGGTCCTGCTAGCCTAATATTGAACTAGAAGCTCCTTGTGTTTTTTTGTAAACGGTACATAGTACGAAAAATTTATTGGTGGTACAAATTGGTACGAATTTAGTTCTTTTTAATTCTACTTTGTTTCATTTTTTATTTTATTTTTTTAATGTGGTCCTGCTAGCTTAATATTAAACTAGGAACACCATGTGCTTTTTTATAAACCGTACATAGTACAAAAAATTGATTGGTGGTACAAATTGGTACAAATTCTGTTCGTTTTAATTCTACCTTTGTTTTATTTTTTATTTTATTTTTTAATGTGGTCCTGCTAGCTTAATATTAACCTAGCAGTGCCACGTTTTTTTTTTTTTTTTGAAAACGGCACATGGTACAAATTTTTTATTGGTGGTACAAATTAGTACAAAATAGGTACTAAATAATGTAATAGATTTTAATCGATTCTGCCTAGTTGGTCCTGCTAGCTTAAGAGAGGTCGTAAGCACGCGGGCCGGTGATGTTGCAAAGTGACTCACCGGTGGGCATGCGGTCTTTAACGTGATACCAACAAAAATATAAATGAAAAAAATTCCAAATATTATCCATTTGTCAAAGTGGCCCGAAGTAGATTAAAGGAAAGTAAAAGGCTCAAAGTCTGTCGACCACATAAATTTATTAGGTTGGGTTGCAAGCGCTTTCGACCTAAAAGGTCATCATCAGGCAAAAAAATTTTTGTAAGAGAGTAGGTAGGTACAATCTGCAATAATGATTTAAGGATAACAAAACGTTTTTTATAGAAATGCTAGGTGTCTTACCACTATACTTATACTTATACTTATACTTTTGAATAAAGATTATTATTATTATTATTATTATTATTATTATATTTTAAAAAGAGTTGAAATACCTGTAAAATGTCATTCACCGGTGTCACATTCGGAAACTTGTCATGACGGTGTCAAATGATAAAATTTTATTTGATTTTAGGTTGTAAAACGTAGTAAATTGCAGTAAACTACTGTTACAACCATGTATGTAATCATGTTATTTTTAAAACATTCCAACTTTGGAAAAGAACACTATTTTTGCATTAAAAGTTAATGAACTTCGTATTTTGTTTAATAATTTTCAATAATAAAATTTTTTCAGACCTTTTTTTAATTTTGTATCACTCTATCACTGTCTTGTGCGGGATAAATAACAACATTCGCCGAAATATTCTTCTGTAGTACAGATTATGCGTTATGTGTCTACTGTTTATATGATTATAAACTGGTTAAATTACTCCTTCATGGGCAGAAAATCAGGTAGAAAATAATGTTTTAACAATTTATATAATTAAAATAAAGTCTATTTTCCTAATGTTTTTTCTCAATAACAGTGATTTATTTGTAGGTATTTAATTATATAGTGTATTAAAAATTGAAATTCTATTTATTACAGTGTTAATCAACTTCGCAATCGTTTAGTGCGGCCATATCGGTACATTCCATAATTTTCGGGATTTTTTTCAGACATTCTTCATCAAAATAGTCAAATTCTTTCATGACTTTCTTCACGTCCAGTTCTCCGTTGGAATCGATGAGTTCCATCGAGACGAAGATGCAGCGCAGATAACAGTAAGCATCTTCGTCGAGTCTTTCAAGAGTATCGTCTTCCATTTTTTTAACAGTTTCTTTGGCAATCGCAGTTTCTTTGATGCAGTAGTCCTTGACGTTCGCGATATCGATAGGATCACACTAAAATATAAAATATTATTTAATTGCAAGTTATTTTTTAAGATTTACTTGTTTGGGCAATTTCCTACCCATTAAAAGCTATGTCGTTTTTGACTTAATTCCGCAAAAACATGATAAAATTTACATATACATAGAATGATTTATAGCAGGGGTAGAAGTTGGAAATGCTAGGTAGAGAAGGATTAAACGTGAAACCACGTCGAACGACTTCAAAAATTTCCCAATAATGTTTACCTGCAAGGTAGCTATTCTTGAATTCGAGGAAATAGAAACCTGGTTTCTCCTCTTTATCTACAACGCAAAAAATTTGTATTTTTGTCTCGTTCTTCCCTCAAAATTTCTACTCCCTGAGAATAGATACCCTGGTGTCGTTTCATAGAATAAGTAATTTTAAATTATTATTGGCGGAACCGGACAATCGAACGTATTTATGGACTAGGAATAATTAATAAACAAGTATATTAATATCCAACTCATAATTATTCTACAAAAATTTAACAACTATTCACATTTTATTATACTATTTACCCGAAATTGTTATTAACATCTATAAAATAACTTTGTACGCCAATGTATCGCGTCCACTTTGGTAAGCTTCGCTGCAAAACTATCAATTTATGTAAGTGGAAGAAGTGTAAAAAGCCTTTCCAATTTCTGCCCCTGCTATAATCAATATATACAATTCTAATAATAATTATAAAAAACGACGTAACACTGGCAAAATATTTTTTTTATAATTGTCTAGTTTACAAAATGAGTATTAACAGTAGACCTATTACCCAGACAGCATACATAGTTCAATGGACGTCCACTTTAGAACCATTTGAGGGCCAGAACGTCCATATCCGTATTCGGACATCCAGTGTACGTCCGTTTATGATTAATAATTTGACAGCTGCATATCGATCGCCAGAGGACGTCTGTTTTTGCCTCAAGTATAAATAAAAATATTTGGTACCCAATAGACACAGAATGGTGCAAATAAGCCTCTTAAGGAGAAATGTAGATGAGTATATGCCTACATAATAAAATAAAATTATCGGTACACAACAAAGTAAGTTGGTACCTAAAAGGCACAAAATAGTGCAAATAAGTCTCTTAAGGAGAAATGTAGATGAATTATACCTACATAATAAAATAAAATTTTCGGTACACAACAAAGTAGTTTGGTACCTAAAAGGCACAAAATGGTGCAAATAAGTCTCTTAAGGAGAGATGTAGATGAGTATATGCCTACACTATAAATTTTTTTTTGGTACCCAGTAAAGTCATAATTATAACGAATAGATGAAAGGAAATTGGTACCCAAAGGGCACAAAAAAGGTGCGATTAAAATGCATATAAATTAGTAATGGGATGACGTTCCGAGATAATTGAAAAAAATGCATTTGTAGAAAAGTATTGATTATATTAGAAATATTATTGATATTAAAGGTATTGTGATTTAAAAATTTTATCGAAAAAATACACCATAACAAGGTATGTTATGTTGATAATGGGGTGTTAATACACTGCGACCTAAAAGATCTATTGTGCCCCCTTCTGTCGCCACTGCACTAAGGAAATGTCTCAATGCCTATAGCGACCCTACCATAACAAGGTAAATAAACTAAATAATAAACAAGTAGAATTAAACCTAGTGAAGCATATCAACAATAACTAACTACTAAAATACATTTTTTTTTACTACAAAATAAATATATAAGACAATTATCGTTCACAGAATTTTATCATTGGGTGGGAAAATTTAATTTTCTATTTTAATATTTTTTAAAAGCTTGAATTTAATAAATGGGTGGAAAAAGCTGAATTTTCAGTTTTAATTTGTTTCCTCTTATTTTAAAGGCAAGGGCAAATTGCTTAAATAACCTGGAAAAGTATTGTAATATAAAAACTATAAATTTGTAAAGGGTTTGCCCTTGTCCAAATTAATTTTAAGTCAAATAATTCAGGATAAAATTTCATATAACTTTACTTTTGTTTTTTTTTGCATATGAAAACACACCCACGAGTCAAGCACTTCTCCAGTTCAAGGACCCAATCCAGCCTCAGTCACGATCATCCTTGAAGCTAGCCCTAAGAGACAGGAACCAACCGGATCTCATTAATAGTCTAAGATCCGAAGTAAGGTCGACCTTCACCCATCTGTTTAATGGATGAAAGTTTCTTTATATTAAATAAAATGTGTTTATAAATATATCGCAAATGGGTTGCCTAAGAAAATGCGGTCCAGACTATTTATTTTCTTAAAGTAAAAAAAAAACAACACCCTGTAAAATATTCCCAAGATGCTTCGACTATGCCCAAACTTTAATCAGCTCACTGTAGGATGGATTAAAGCTTAAGTTTTAAATTTAATGTTTTTCTCTTCATCCGTTTTTGAGTTATCCTCAAAATTCGAAATTTGCACAAAAAGTGCAAATTTTTAAATATCTCGAATTATGTCCATTTTAGAAAAATCATGTATAGAGACAAAATAATAGAGAATGTCATCATAAGCAACTTTTATCATAATTCCTATACTTTTCTTATCTGTACACAGAAAGGAAAGTAAAAAATGGATGTGACTGTATTTTCCTAGGCAACCCATTTGCGGTATATTTAAAAAAATATTTTATTTAATAATAAGAACTTTTATCCATGGGTGAAGGTCGACATTACTTACGGATCCCGGACTATAATGACATATTGCCAGTGGTCATTCCAATACTTTCTCAGTGGACAACTTTCGAGGCCATTAGAATGGAGTATTTTTTAAATACAGAAACACTAAAACGAAGGAAGGACTGGGTATCAGTCAAAACTACCCAGTCAAAACCTTCTTATGCATGAAACCCATATGTTCTGAAGATGACAAACTATTTTAAGAAGAAATACAGAACAAGCACGAGTCAGCAACACAGTAAATACTAGCCGTTAGCTGCAAACCCTCTCAGACAAGGCGAGTTCCTATTTGCGAAACTTCAACTAGTTGGTCGGTGCAGTTGATGTCCTTGATGAATCTTCGCAACGATCCTGTAAAATTAGTCTATTTATAAGTATACAACCATAACTGAGAAAAGCGTCAATAAAACCAAGGCCCTCGAGGAATCCATTGAACTACTGAACCACGCACAGCAGCCTTCAACCAAGCCGCAGCTGGAATCAGACGATCCAAGTTCCGAGTCTCCAGATTGCTAAGATGGAAACGCAAGCAGAAGAAAAGGCTGAACCAGGGGCTGGATGAGAAAAAAGAGACTGTATTTGTGTTCGGAGTGTTTGACTGTCAGTGATACGGGACTATTTCGTGTGTGCGAAAGTTGTTTCCTCTAAAATTGTACACATTCATGTTTGTTTAATTGTTTTTCTTCTCTCAATTTAATTTTTTTTTATTGTTATTAATGTTTGTATATTTTTTTTTCTCTGAATTGAGATATTATATTAAAATTTCTCTTTTCGTGTTAGGTTTAAGGAAAAGCCCAAGTCTGGCTTTAACCGTTGGGGGGCATGTCACGTCCAGTAAAATATTAAAAAACCATTAATAAAATACATTAAATAAATTAATATACTTTTAAATAATTCCTAGAATAAAAATAGTTATCTCTAATAGAAAATCTCAATAATCTCTTAAATGTAAATATATCCTTAAGTAAATAATATTGTATACATTTCATAACAAAAACATAGACGTTGAACTATTAACGACCTGCATTAATTGTGTCGAATTAAAGAAATAGCAAAATCAGCAAATAGTTAATAGGTATAAATTCGACACTGACTACTGTTACGAGAACAGTTCTCCTTTTGCTGTACCCGGAGATATCTTAAGTAAAGATACCTTTTAGTCTTTGAGAAAGCGTCGTGACGTGCCACTCACGGGGAATGTTTTGGTAAGGCTCTTTTATATTGTATTTTATTGTTATCTGTTTTATATTTTGGATATTGATTATTTATTGATTGATTAATAAAATTGTTTTGTTTTAACTCGACTTTTATTTCATAAAGAAAGGTAGCCACAATTATTAACATTAAATAATTGTTTCGACCCTTAGAAAAGGGGGTCGTGACAATAACCTCAATAAACTACCCAAATCGAGCAAATCGGCACCATAGAGCTGGCGAGTGACTCGCAATCGTTTTAGTCGATGATTTCCCACAAATCGGAATTCACCAAACTGTCGCAATCGAGTATTTCGATATCGAATTGTCAATGGGAATCTGCCTGCAGAACGAAATAATGCAACGTTTTTGTGGGTATGTGCAGTTTCGGTATGTATCTATATTTATGATCTACAGACTTACATTAATAAGTAAATTAATACATTCTGGATTTTTCAACTATTTGAAACTTCAAATTTTAACTAGGACCGGCGCTTGAAGGACCGGGAAATATCCCCCGGTTTCCTGGTGGGACTATCTGCCCATGGCTATAAACCAATAAGAACGCCGGAAACAAGATTTGTTCTCAAATAGAGGAACAAAGTGGTGTTTTTGGCAAGTTATACTGGTGATATTGTGTAAAGTTAAGAACATTAAAACACTTTTTAAACAATCCTTCAATTACAGTTTTTACAAAATTTAGTTATACATAAATAACAAGTCAAATTAATTTAGAAATTTTTTTATTTAATCATAGATTGAAATTAATTATTTTAACGCAGAGTAACATAATAAATATTTATTCAGCCAGCTAAGAAATGTCTTTATTTTATTTAACGGGTAAATGTATGTGGGATAAGCAGATCGAGGTCCCGCAACATAACGAGTTACACAAAACGGCATTTTGTAAAGTGTTACATATAAGATTTTTTCTAATTTTTACTAAATTATAAAACTGCCTTGCATTGAAATAGTTTACATCGTATTTATCAGAGATATTTCAGAATTTATTACTGAATGGTAAAGTCTTGTCTAGTCCTAAAATTTTAGATGGTATATCGCAGAGTTCTGTCCTTGGTCCTGTATTGTTTTTAATATATTTCTATTATTTGGCTAGCGTTAAAATAAATGGACATTTTACA